GAGGCCGATCCTGCGGGTTTGGAGCCCGGCAGGGCCATGGGGGCCGGGGCCGGTGGGCCGGGCGTCCTGGCGCTGCTGTTCGCTGTGTGCGCTCCGCTCCGGCTGCAGGCGGAGGAGCTGGGTGAGTGACCGCCGGGACCGGAGCTCCGGGAGGGCCTGCGGCGGGGCGGGCGGGCTCCGCCAGGCCGGGGATGGGCTGAAGTCAGCGAGTGCATTCCGGATCGCGCCCCAGAAACTCCTTCCTTCCCCCGCCACAAACGAGCACGGCAGCTTGGCGCCTGATCCCCGGCTGCCTGCGCGGTATCCCCGCCCGGCCACTTAGTTCCCAGACTTCCCGACCCTGGCGGCGGGTGCGAGTGGCCTGGCTCTGGGTGAGCACCCCGCCGGCTCCCGGTCTCTGGCTGCATTGGGGGTGCTTCTGCGAGGCTGGCCGGGAGCAGGCTGCAGACGGGGGTCCCCACAGTCTCAAGCGTGCCGGGCTGGAGACCCGAGTTAGAAGCTTGCGGCTCGGGTTCTAAGACGGTGTGTGAGTGAGTCGACTCCGGCCCAGGCTGCTTTTCCTCGGTAGCTAGCTGATCGTTGGCTTCCAGTGCCACCGAATTTACTCCCAGTCTACCAGATTAAAGCAGGAATTTGGTTTCCCAGCCCTACGTGGCTCTGTTTCATTAATCTGCGTTAATTAGTTCTCCTTGGATAGGAATGGCCAGCTTTCTGCCTTTTTTTTTCTTTCTCTTTTCTTTCAGTTTTTATTTCTCTCCTCTCCTGTCTTTTTGCTCCTCTCTAACCGGAGTTAATTAATGGCGGTAAGTTTATGTAGAAATCTTGGACAACCCCCCTCCTCCGCCCCCGTTGTACTTTCTGGTGAAACAGGAATCTAAGTTAAATCCATCGCTGGAACTTTTTCATTGAAAAATGTACTCGTTCACCCAGACATTCAGCATGTTGATAGTATTAAAAACACAAAACAAAAATGTACTGTAGCACAGTCTGAAAGTGTGTTAAATTTGCAATATATAAGGTCTTACGAATGCATTATAAACATACTGTTTTGTTTTGCCGTACTGGGGACCCCTGGGCAAGGCAAGCCTTCCACCAACGGAACTATATTCCAGCCTCTGAATGTTTTAAATGTTGAAAACACTTTCTCAAGTCGATGTTTGAAAATGTAACGTGTTACATTTATTTGGGGTGGGTTTTTTTTTTTAAAGATTTATTTTTAATTGTGTGTATTTGTGTCTGTGTTGGGCTATATGCATGTGAGTGCAAATGCCAATGAGGCCAAAGGTGTCTTGATATCTTAGACCGGGAATTACAGGCAGATGTGAGCCCCTGGGTGTGGGTTCTGGGAACCAACCTTGGGTCTGTTGCAAGAGCAATCTGTCCTCATAACCGCTGAGATATCTCTGCAGCCCCATTTAAAATGTTTCTAATTTATTTATTGTTATTATTTGCTGTTTTGAGACAGGCCGACCTGAAACTCATATGTAGCACAGACTAATCTTGAATTCGTGACAATCCTCGTAATGCCTCCTAAGTGCTGGGATTACAGGCACCAAACCTCTATATCCAGTTCACTTGGTTGTTATATTTTGTTTTTGGCTTTTGCTTATTTCTTTCTTAGAATTTCACTTTGTTTTAAATTATGTCTATGAATGTGGGTGTATGCATATGAATGTAAGGACCATCTGAGGCCTGAGGCCACGGATCCCCCTGTGACTGGAGTTGTGACCACCTGTTCTGGGTGCTGGGAACTGAACTTGGTTCCCGGCAAGAGCTCTTTTTTTTTTTTTTTTTTTTTTTTTTTTTTAATATTTATTTATTTATTTATTGTATATACAGTGTTCTGGCTGCGTGTTTGCCTGCAGGCCAGAAGAGGGCACCAGATCTCATTACAGATGGTTGTGAGCCACCATGTGGTTGCTGGGAATTGAACTCAGGACCTCTGGAAGAGCAGCCAGTGCTCCTAACCGCTGAGCCATCTCTCCAGCCCCCAGCAAGAGCTCTTAACTGGTGCAGCCCATTCATTTCTTTCTCTCTGTATTCCTTTTTGTTCGTTCTTTTGTAAACTTCCTGCTTCAAACTCACTAGCTAGCCTGAGCTCCTGATGCTCCTTCCTCGCCCTCCAGTGCTGGGATTACGGCAGTAGAAAAGGCACCTCTAAAATTTGCACATCTGTGAGTCCGCCTCACAGCATGACCTCCACATGAAAATGCTTACCTGGGCTCAGGGAGCGCTTTAGAAGTATGATTGGTCAGGTTCTTACCCAGCCTCACAGTTTAGAGCTTGTTACCACTGACTGTGGGAAGAAGACTGTCATTAGGGTTCGTGTGGAACACACCGTGTAGTTAGGATTTTAAAATGAATGAGTACTACCGAGGCCTGGAGGTGTGCTTGTCTAGTTGAGGCACTTTGGAAACAGGCAGGAGGATTGCCTCCAAGACAGGGCTAGCCTGGATTACATAGTAAATGCCAGGCGAGCCAGGGCTGCATTGCAAGACTCTGTCAAAATTGAGTGAATTAATGAATGAATGAATGAATGAATGAATGTGGGTATTCACACACAAAAGGTAAAGTCAGGGCTGCATTGCCAGACTGTCAAAATTGAATGAATGAATGAATGAATGTGGGTATTCACACACAAAAGGGAAAGCCAGGGCTGCATTGCAAGACTCTGTCAAAATTGAGTGAATGAATGAATGAATGAATGAAAGAATGAATGAATGTGGGTATTCACACACAAAAGGTAAAGTCAGGGCTGCATTGCCAGACTGTCAAAATTGAATGAATGAATGAATGAATGAATGAATGTGGGTATTCACACACAAAAGGGAAAGCCAGGGCTGTATTGCGAGACCGTCAAAATAACAAACAAATAAATAAATAGATAAATAAACAGATACACAGATAAACAAATTAGTGATTGAATGAATATGGTTATTCACATACAAAAGGTAAAACTTAGGTTTGAGATGTTTACTAAAAAGGACTTAGGAATTCCAATGATAAGTGTTGTTGTTGTTGTTTAAATACTAATTTTTTTTTATTGGCTGTGTACTGGGTGCACACATGTGTGAGATAAAAGAACAATTTATAGGAATCCTTCCACCGTGTGGATTCCAGGGATCAAACTAAGGCCTTGGCCTAAGCAGCGAGGACCTTCACATTTCACCAGCCCCTGTTTTTTTTTTTTGAGGCAAGGTCTCACTCTGTCCCCGAATGGCCTGGAGTTCCCTGTGTAGCCCAGTCTGGCCTCAGACTTGCTATGTGACCAAGAATGATCTTCCGTCGCCCACCCTCCCGCGCCTGGCTCCCTATGGCTAGGACTGTCACATCTGGCTTCTGTGAGTTGTAAAGTGGTTCTCACATCTGTGGGCTTCCAGACTCCTTGGGAGGACAGTTTTCAATATTCATAACTGTAAACCATCCTACTGACTTTAGGACTAGAGATCTGCTCCAGGCTCTCAGTGTATGGGGTCGGATAGTGTCAGGAATGAAATCAGTGCTCTCGGTGCCCTCTGGCTCACTAGCCTGTCTTTCGTGAGAACTTACTATACTTAATTGAACCTTTTGTTCATGCAATGGTTCCCCAGTCTCCAGGACCTGCCTGGCTACCAGTATCTGTGGAAGCTTTGCAGCTACAGCCCCCTCATTTTATTTATTCTGGTTTTTGTTGTTTTGTTTTGTTTTGTTTTGTTTTGACAACAGGGTCAGGCTGTGTGGCCCAGGCATGCCTTTATAGCTCAGGCTGGCCTCAGATTTGTGATTCCTCTGCCTCAGACTCTAATGTGCTAGGATTATAGGCATGGGCCACCACACCATGTTTCCAAAAATAATTTATGATGCCGGACAATGATGTTATTTGAGTTTTTGTGCTGGGGTCTGGTGGCCTCATAAGGCTGCAGTGACTGTTTTATATGGCTGCTGTTTGCCTTTGTGGTGCTTTTATTCTGTTTCTCGAAATCCGTCCGTCCTCCCCAGTGTACTTGCCCAGCACGGTTCCCTCTTTTGCTCGTTCCCTGGAGTCACTCTGCCTGGGTTCTGTATTTCCATAAACTTTTCACATATCTTGGAACTCGCTCCGTAGACCAGGCTGGCCTCGAACTCACAGAGATCCGCCTGCCTCTGCCTCCTGAGTGCTGGGATTAAAGGTGTGAGCCTCCACTGCCTGGCATTCACATGATTTTTTACTTTTTAGTAATATGACCTATAGCTTGCTCATTTGTGTTGATTCTCTTTGTATCAACTTATATACTTGGATTTGGTCCAGCAGCTTTATTACCTTGATAGTAGTTCTGTAGAATAAAATGGCCTTAATTCTTTTTAAGGTATTCTCCACTTCGTCTTCGACAATTTCATACATGTGTGTGATGTTTTGATCATTTTCGCCCCCCGGCCCTGTCTTATTCTCCTCCCACCACCTCCCAGCCAGTTCCCCCCTTACGGTTTTGTTGTTTTAATCCACCGAGTTAATTAGAATTGTTTGCATAAGCCTGGGTGTGGGGTTTAGTAGAGATGGCGAATTTACCAGTACCTACTGAAGAAAAATGACTTCTTTTCCCCAGCAATTCACCAGCCAGTAGTTCCTCAATTAGGGATGGAGCCTCTCTGTTGTCCATCACAGATTGTGTATGGCTCACTCTCGGGCAGGTCTTCTGTGAGTTCCGGGGGGTGACAACCGTGTCATGTCCAGAAGCAGTATTCCACGACCCGTCCCCATCCTCCAGCTCTTACATTCTTTCCAAAATGCCCTTGATTGTTGTGGTGGGATCTAAAAACCCTGATTCTCTTCTCACCAAAATATGTGCATATGGGGAGTACAGATTTCCTCCTGGTGATTTAAATATCCACAGAAATGAAAACAAGCAGTTAATGCTTTGAAGATCAGCTCCTGGATGCTTACAGAGTGCTTTAAAAACCACTTCCCAACTCTTGGCTTATTGCTGTTTGAATGTCTAGTCTTCATCACTAATTAATATTTGGGTAGACATATGACCTGCTGATATTTGATGTTTTAGGTAAGTGGCTTTTTTAAAGAATTAAGTACAAGTTTATTCTGGCGCCTTGTACACCAGGGTGCCTTCCTGCAGACCTTCCCGGATCTTACCTGTCCAGGGGGCAGTG